ACTCTTTTGAAGAAATTTTGCAACAAGAATTATTGTGGTGCTTGCTGTGTATAAAATATCCATCAGATGCCAATTCGATTAATCACATCAAGTATGTACAATATTTTACTTGCACATATCTGCTACTAATAAATTCTTTATTAATATATGATTGTAATTTTTTAGGAAACTTATTACAGAGATTCCTAATCAACCAGACTTGGTAAATTTACTAAAAACTAGAACATTTGAATGGCTTCAAAATAACTCACCCAAGAATTGGCAGTATCATGTTGCATCAGACAAAAAATTATTGTATCCATATTCTTCATTTTCGGCAGCTTTACAATCTCACATACGTGCTCTGGTTCGAATACCGATTGCTAAGCTTCTTTGTTGTCTTGAGCGATTATTTGTAACCAGAACTTTTTTAAACCTAAAACGTTCAACATCCAAATGTTCTAAATTATTACTTGAGTATTGGAAGCAAATGACTAATGACAGAAGTCTTTTAAATATTGACGAACTATCAGAGCCGAAGCCAGATGGATACTTAATGCCAACTCTTTTCTATGATCTTCAATTTCCGTTTTCTTATCATTTTGTTAAACAAATTGATACTTTCAAAAAACTTTATAAAGAAGAAGTCCGTTTACTTCAAGAAAACCCTAATAATATTGATCCTGACACAGGAAAACTTTTTGATTATATTTTTGAAGATTATATAGCGGGATTGAGAAATAATATTATGACTTCAATTCCTAATTTCAATACATTTCCACTTGAACATGCGCCAGAATTATTTTTTGAAGATTTTATCGCTATTATTTCTGCCGGTAGATCAAACAAAAAAGACATTTCAATTTTATTATTTATTTTCGAATACAGCCTTGGATCTGAAAAAATATTGGACCCTATTTTAGCTCATGCTTTCTGGTGGGAACATTCCGATCATATTATGGCAGAATTTCAGTTGGCCAAGTTATGCCCTTCGATTATTAATGAAACAATATTAGAGAATAGGAAGACAACAAATATGCCATTTGGATATTATCTCATAGAAGAAATTACAAAGATAATGTTTCGAAAATTAAATGACACCAAATCTGGAACATCAGCTGTTACTCAACTTCAATGCTGGCAACGGGAGGTCTCCAAAATTTTATCTCTTAGTGAAAAGCTCCCAGAAGCTTCAACATTTGCGTCATTACATTTATTACAAGTATGTTATAATTTTGTATCAGCGGATTCGATCTCAGTATCTAATATGAAAGAAATAATGAAAGCTGGAAAAGGATCAAAGGATGATCTGTTTAATCAAAAATTCATTGAAATCATTTTTTCGTTGATGAAAAAGCTTCCAA